AAGACAAATAATCCAATTTTTAAAATGGGCAAAGGATTTGAATAGACATTTCTCCAGAGAAGGTATAAAAATAGCCAATAGGACTGGGGATAGAATTCAGTGGTAGAGCACTTGGCTAGCATGCATAAGGCTCTGAGTTCAATCTCTAGCACCACTAAAAAACAAAGGCCAATAAATACCTGAGAGGATACTCAAACATCGTTAGGAAAATGCACACCCTCTTCACACCCACTAGGGTGGTTGGAATAAAAATGAGAGAATCAAAACAAGYGTTGACAAGAATGTAGACAAATTAGAACCCTCATATACTGCTGGAGGAAATGGAAAGTGGTGTAGTCACTTTAGAATACAGTCTTGCAGGTCTTCAAATGATCAAATATGTTTGCCATATGACCCAGCAATTCCACTCCTACATATATAATCAAGAGAAATCAAAACATATGTGCGATCATGTAGATGTGGTTTGTGTGTCTCTGTCTCTCCACCCTGCCCCTCAGGTTCATGTGTAGGAAGTTCAGTCCCCAGTATGGCAATATTGGGAAAGAGTGGGCCTTTAAGAGGTGAGGCCTAGTTATTGGGAACATGGGGACTGTGGGGGAAGGATTAACATAGTTCCTATGGGACTCCTGGTGAGTTCTTGTAAAAAACCAGTTGTTATTAAAGAGCCCCTCCTCTCCTGTCTTGCATGTGATCACTCCTACCWTTGTGTTGTAATCTGATATTAGGAATCCAGCCATGGGGCCATCATCAGAATCTGCACCATGTTGTTTGGACTTTCAGCCTCCAAAACTATGAGCTAAATAAACCTTTTTACAAATGACTCAGCTTCAAGTGTTTCCTTATAGTGATGGACAACATATTTGCACAAAAATTTATGAATAAATGTGTGTAGCAGAATTATGCACAATAACCAAAAAGGTGGCAGCAACCCAAGTGTCTATCAACTGACAAATGGATAAACAAAATGTGGTATATGGTATCCATATAATTGACTCTGCAGCCATAAAAAGGAATGAAGTACTGATACATGMTATCACATGGATGAACCTTGAAAACATCATGTTAGTGAAAGAAGTCAGACACAAAAAGCCACATATTTTATGTGTGCATTTATATGAAATGTCCTGAATAGGCATATCCATAGATTTGACAGAAAGTAGATTAGAGACAGAAAATAGATTAGTGGTTGCTAGAGGTTGAAGGAGGGGGAACGAGGAGTGACTGCTAATGGGAACTGGGCTTCTCTTTAGAGCAATGCAAATATTCTGGAATAAGATAGCAGTGACTGGGGTCGGGGTGGGAGTGGGGTTGTGGCTCAGTGGTAGAGCGCTTGCCTTGTATGCGTGAGGCCCTGGGTTCCATCCGCAATACCACATAAAATAAATAAATAAATAAATATGAAGATATTGTGTCCATCTACGATTAAAAAATATTAAAAAAGAAGATAGCAGTGACATCAACTTTGCAAATATACTAAAAACTAGACTAAATATACTAAAATACTAGACTTTATAGGAGTGAATTTTGTGGTATATAAATGATATCTCAATAAAGCTCATATTTTTAAAATGATGATCTGTGAGTGCTGGTAAGTTTACTAGGAAACTTGTGGATTCAAGTTGCTGGTGGCAGTGTAAATTGGTGTAGAAATTTTGGAAAGTGCTATGCCAATGGCATTATGTAAGAAGTGGAGGGGTTTCCATGAGAGGTATCGATTATTTTCCATGGCTAAAGCTTTTACATGGATATTTAGTCAACACAGAGTTTGTTGAAAATTTTACAACTGTGCTACTGTGGATGACTGGGGGGGGGGGTGATCAGCTCCTGCCCCAGATGTAGGGAGCAGTCCTCAGATTCCCTGAGGCTGAGAAATGACCTCAGCTTAGATCCTGGGCATAGGCAAGCTTGGACAGGTCTTGGGAGTCAGCCAGGTTGGCACTCTGTCATTTTTGTGCTCACAGCTGCCTGTCAATAGTGTGACGGCAAGCTGTCTGCCAGAGTCTGGGACATTGACCTGGAAACTTGTACAGTCTTTGTCCTTGAGTGTCAAGAGAACAAGAACCTTTCATGCTGTTAGCAATGCCCCTCCTGGGGATTGATTGCAAAGGAATAAGTTAGAGGACAAAAGCTGTGGACATGAAGGTGTTCACTGCACTGTTTGCTGCAGTAGCGAAAACTATAAGCTGCCCAAATGCCAAAGTGAAGAAACAAGATGAGACCCTTTCTTTGTGGGAGGTTTGCGGCCATTAAAAATATTTGTTGGGCTGGGGGTGTAGCTTAATGGTAGAGTTCTTTATCTAGCACGTTCAAGGCCCTTGATTCCAACTCCAGCACCACAACAAACAAACAAAAAAGAGTTCTGCAGAGATGAGTAGACAAGTGAGAATGATATAATAAGACGCTCAGGAGGAAAGCACAATGTTGCTATTTTGTGGGGAGTTCTGTGTGCAGAATGGACTGGAAAGTACATGTCCCATGACTTGATGCTGTCTGAAATTTCAGAGTCTTAGGTAGTCAGGCTCTCAGGCATGGAGTCAAACTAACCAGTCTCACAGAGTCTAATGTAGAGACAAGATCCCAACAGGAGAGTGCTGTGGATCGGAATGGCCCAGACCACTTTGTGCAAAAGCTTGATCTCCATAAAGGAAATATATGCCTTATGAAAATGAAGCTTAGTGACCTTGAGAGAGTCCCTTAAACCTTTTGAGCCTCAGCTTTCTTACCTACCAAATGGGAGGAAAGGAGCGCTCAGTGCACAGGACTGTCATGAGGACATTGGGGTAGAAGCAGATTGGCTGGAAAGGGACCTGAAGGGCATAGGTGCTGGAGGACACTCACCTTGGGAATGAGCCAGCCAAACTCATGATTGTTGACACCCAGGAGGAAGGGCACAGAGTGGAATTGCYGCTCATTTATGAGCTCCTGGGGACTTTGGGGAAAGAAGGAGCCATCAATGGTGTAGGAAGAGATCAAATTATTCTGCAGGAGAAAACAAGGCAGGAGGCCCCTGAGTCAGGACCAAGCCTCAAAGGATGGGAATCCTAAGGGCCACCCAGATGCATGTTTGAGTGACTGACCCTTGAGGAGATGGAGGGTCCAGCRGGGAGTAAGAAGACCTGGAGCAACTACTGCTTCCAAACAGATGTCTTCCCTAGCAGCCAGGGCCTACCCTTGGGGCTGGGGTGGACCCTCATCTCCTTCCTCTCATGATAGCTGCCCCAAGTCTCACCCCAGATTGGTAACTTCCCCTCTGCTCCCATAGGTGCTGGACAGGACCTTTTCTGTGCTATTGTCTGTCACCATCCCCCAAGAGGCTGCATACCGACAGGCTGGTGATCAGCTCCTGCTCTTTCTTCTGCTGAAGGCATTGTACCAGCTCGGCCGGGGAGTCAGAGTTGCAAGCCAAGGAGCGTGCTACATTCTGGAGAAACACATGTCACGCCTCCCTCTCAGCCCCCCCATCTCCATCCTTCCAGTCTACTCCTTCTCGTACAGAGGGGTTGTGTTTGTAGAATACTGGGCTGTTACGTTACAGATCAGGCCCAAGCCTGGCCAGATACCTGCCACCCCCTCTGAGAGGCCCATCCCTGCTCTGTGTGGCCCTCAGTGACATCAAAATGCCATTCCTTGTTGAGGGAGGATGGAATGAGTGCCCTTTGCCCTCTGAGAACTGTGTTCTTTTCTGTGTCAACACAGTTTGGGTAGGGTGCGGAGTGGGAGGAGCTCCATCAGGCCACAGTCTGGGGATGCAGGGGGTGCCACGATTGGAGCAGGCCAGGGGTCAGGTAGGAAGTGAGGCTGTTAGGGACAGCTTCAAGGGAGACAGGGAAGGACCTAAAGTTTGAGGTGGAGAAAATCTCCACGGTGAGGCCATCGACAGGAGGCTCCTGTTGTCCAGTTAAGAGGCGCTGTGCCCTGCTGAGGTTCCTGAATCATCTTGCACCAGGGGTTAAAGTATTCAGCTGCTCTTCTACCTTAGATGGGAACTGGGGCTAGGCGAGGTTACTGACCCAGCCTCCCCTTGTCCCTGACTCTATTGCTGGCCTTGCCCTGCCTCATCAAGGTCTCTCTTGCCTGTGCTCTTCCTTGACCATCTCCCGGGCTTCCTGATCTCCAGAGTTGCTCCCTTCAGCCCATCTTCCACTCCAAGTAGTTCAGACTCCTCTTTGCCCTGCTTCTTCCTGCCCTCTGGATCAAGTCTAGGTCCATTGCACGGCCTGTGAGGTCTCTGCAATGCCTCCTACTTCTCCAGCACCTTCACTTCCTGCTCTGTTCCCTAACATGTCCTATTCCCTACCTGATGGCCTATTCCCTACCTGATGGCTTCCTACTTCCAGGACCTCTCACTGTCTCACACCTGCAGCCTTTGCAGGTGCATGGGGTTCCCCTTCGAGAACTCTCTGGCTTCCCCTACAACTCCTTGCAAGGCTGTCAGTGAGAATCTGGTTGCGGGGGGGATCTAGAGGCTGAATGGAAATCTCTCAAGCAGCAGGGTGACTGGGAATGGAGAGTTCCCCAAGCACCCTTGGGGAGAGGTGTGCTCCCCAAGATCTCATCCTGGGGAGGGGGCCAGAGATGATCCATTTAGGGGTGGCCTCCTCCAGGAAACCATGCCTGACTGCCCAGCCCATGGAATACAGTCATTTCCTTTGAGCCTCCACGGGTACTGTGTGTTATTCATCCTGGTTTGTTCCTCTCTGACAACAGGGAGCTCCCCATCAGTGACCATCTCTCACTCTGAGACCTTAGGACCAGCACAAGTAGGGTGTGGAGGCACACATGGAGTAAGAGAGTAAAGAAAATGCARACCTGAGCTTTGGGCCATGGGTTGGGTTCCATGAGCCCTGGAAGAGTGATGACCCCACTTTGTGCTATGGCTCTGTGGAACAGCCCTGTAGCCATCGGAGACAGGACCTGGGTGCAGTGGAGAAAACTGATGACTATTAGAAGAGCTCAGGAGCTGAGAGGTATGGGGCTACAGTAGCCCTCCCAGCCTGGCYCCAATTGCTAGCTCCCTGTGATGACTCACGAGTGCAGAGACGATGACACCACCAGCAGATCCACCAAAGATGGTAACACAGTTGACATCACCTCCAAAGGGGGTGATGTTTTCCTGCACCCAGTGTAGAGCAGCCACCACATCTAGGAAGCCCTGGTTGCCAGGCAYATGCTTGTCCCCAGTGCTAGGGGACAGGATGGGGCAGTAGTTAGCTCAAACTGACTCCCCAGACACATTTTCCTTGGCCATTGCAGATTTGCTTTGAATCAGCCACCAGGATCATGAACCTTCCTCTGCTCCCAAAGTCACCTGGCTATGAGCCTTGCTTGGCACCTATACACCCAGTATGTGGTGTGGACAAGCCTAGCAGGGCAGCCAGACAGGACTGGCTCTCAAGTGGCTGCCTGGGCTTGTTGCTCTTTGCCCCCGGTCCCTTCCGGGACTCTGGCCCTAGCCCAGGAAGCCAATATCATTTGTCCTAGGGACAAAGTTCAATGTACAATTCCAGCTTTGGCTGGGCCCATCCCCAGAGTAAAGCCTCAGGGAGATACCCTCCTCTGCCCCAATCATCAGGGTTGCAAGGCTCTCCATTCAGGCCCTGGACATCTATTCTAGCTCCTTAGTTCTTCTCATGAGTTGACTTTTCCAGGGCAGTCGATGCCTTCTGCCAGGCTATCCATCTCACCTGAAGAAGCCAAGGAGCCCAAGGCGGTACTGGACTGTGACTACTACCACATCCCCATAGGCAGCCAGTGCTGATCCATCCTGGGATGTGGCAGAACCAACAATCAGAGAGCCTCCATGGATCCATACCATGACCTGCAGAGATAACCATGGAGCAGTGACCCCCAGCTTCTGGGACCCAGCTGCCAAGGATTAGCTCGGGGCATTCTCAGGACCTCCRAGGTGGTTTGGGAATAGCTGGGAGCAGATGGGCAGGTGGGCAGGGTGAACATGGATCTCTGGGCTGTATACCGGCCTCCTGGTCTCTGAAGTGGTCTCAGCTGGGCTGTAGATGTTGAGGACCAGGCAGTCCTCAGAAACAGAGAAGAGCTGGTGTTTTCCATTGAGTGTAAATCTGCTGTTGTTCATTCTTTTCACATCCTGCAGGCACCTGTGGCCAAGGATGAGTCCGAGGGCCAGTTGGTCAGCCCCAAAACCCCTGGAAGATAGACCCCTGCCAACCTGCCTGCTTGGCCACCCCTGCCTGGGCTACTCACATGGGGGGATCAGTGCTGGCATCCCGCACACCCTCCCAGGGCTGGGCTGGGAGTGGGGCTGAGAACCGGAGAGGGCCCAGGGGTGCCTGAGCAAATGGGATGCCCAGGAAGACATTCACGAGGCGATCTGTGCCCTTCACACCCATCTGCCGGCCTCGCACACGGCCCAGTGGGGTGTCCACTTCAGGACCAGTGACTTTGGACCCTGAGGGCAGGACGCAGAGGCCATGGGGTGAGTTTGCAGGGTCCATGAGAGGACGGGGTGAAAGATGATCTCTCAGAATGAAGGAAACACTTGCTCTCTGAGCACCTGTTCCTCCAGGCTCTGTGCTGAGCACTGGCACGCAGCACCACAGCAGTCTGCAAGCTGGGCCCTCTGATTACCCCTTTAAGTACCCCCAACTTCCTCCTTTTGGCTTGGCATCGTTATTGCTTCCCTCCACACCAAACCAGACTTGCTGTGGGGCCTTGGGCCCACTTGTCCACTTGAACCTCAGATTATTCATCTGCTAAAAAAAAAGTTCTAATAATCATGTCTTTATTTTCTATATTCCATTCTTTATTTTCTATATTAGGTTTGACATCTGAAGCCTTGTTGACCTTGGAGGGACTGCCTCTCCCAGGGTTAGCCAGTTTCTAAAGAGGACACAACATGTTGGGAAGCAAGTTATTCAATAGGAGCTTATTCAGAGCCATACCCCAGCCACCTCCTCAATGGATTTTCATAATCCTGGCCACTATCCATTAGCCCTGAGCACTCCAKGGCCAGGGACCAGACAACTTGGGACAGAGCCTCTATGCTCCAGACTCTGCTGAAATTATTCAAACTAGCCCATCCCAAGCCTGCTTAGCCCACTTACCTATTCCAGCTTGAGGAAACAATAAAGGTTCATGTCCACATTTTCCTCTCACTCCCTCTGCCACCTTGGGTATGGTGCATCTCCTATTTCTAGGCAACAGTGAATAAACTTCTTTCTTTGTGACAGCCCTTTGCACATCTGCTTTTCTTACCATACCCAACTAAAATAAATCCTGAGTCCCCTTCAAACAAAGGACAATTGTGTCCCTGGACATGGCTGCTCTGGGGATCACATACACAGCAAAGGCAGAGCCCCTACCCATATGGCATGCACATACCTTGGCATCCCTAAAAGCTGTGCCCCTTCCCTGAGCTGGCCACCCACTCTTCCCCATCCCTACTCACCTCCCTCCCCTCCTCACTTGGTCTTCCTGCCAACCCAGACATTTCCACTCCTCAGACCCAGTGCTGTTCAGTGTATCTTACCAGTGGCCGTGGTAGTAAATGCCAGAAACAGAAAGCCCACCCATACCAGGGCACTGGACCCAGAATTTACCACTGTCCTCATGATCCTCACAATGGATTGTGGGCAGAAGCAACAGAACATAAAACCTTTGGCACCCTGACCTTTGGCACCATTGATATTTAAAGGGCGATATTGTTTAAACCTCCATAGTCCATCCCACTTGGCTGGTGACCAGCTTCATGTCTCATGCTCTGATTAAGCCAGGGGCAGAACTGGGAAAGTCCCTTGCAGAGGACAAAATATGATAGCCCAGCTATGTTCAGATCCCAGCTCTTACTCTAATTCCTATTTGCCATGTGCTGAGCTGCTTTCCTCTGAGGTTCTTCTGCATGATATTCTTTGCCTCGCTTTAGGCCTGGAGCAATGAAGTAGACAGACCATCGGAACCTCTCAAACTGATTTTAGCTGTCATGCCCTGAAGATACACATGGGAACCGAAGCCTCTGGCCAACAGCCATGTGAATAAGCCATCTTGCAAGTGGATCCTGCAGTCCCAGTCAAGACGTCAGATAACCACAACTCTTTCTAACTACAAGCACATGTGAGACACTGAGCAGGCTAAACCATCAGGCTAAACACTTCTGAATTCCTGACCCACAGAAGCTATGAGAAAGTAAAATGTTTTTTGCTTAAAAAAAAAAACAAACAACAACACAAACAACTCAGCTCTCCCACCTCAGTGATCTTCACAAGACCCTGTGTGCTCCTTAAGATGCCCTGAAGGAAGGGTGACCAGTGATTTGGAGTGCAACTCTGAATGGGCCAGTAGGCCCCTGGGTAAGGGGTTTGCTGTTCATTCTTTCTGCTAGGGGTGTGCCTGAGCTCTGATGCCAGGTGGAGGAAACTAATTTGATTTTTTTTRAGAAAATTTAGGTGAAATTTAAAAAGTTGACAATTGAGCTGGGTGCYGTGGCACATGCCTGTGATCCCAGCTACTTGGGAGGCTGAGGCAGGAGAATCACATCACAGGTTCTGGGCAATTAAGTGGGACCCTATCTCAAAATAAAAAATAAGAAGGGTTKWGGGTATAGTTCAACGGTACAATACAGTGTCGTTTAGTGTATTCCCAATGTTATGTAACTACCACACTTCTCTAATTATTAAAATCTCATCACTCCAGCAAAACATCCTGTAAGCTAATAAGTAATCATTCTCCATTTCCTCTGGTAATCACTAATCTGCTTCTGTTTCAATGGATTTATTTATTCTGGATATATTATATAAAAAGAATCATATGATGCATGACCTCTTAGGTCTGACTTCTTTCACTTAGCATAATGTTTTATATTGAGATTTATCCAAGTTCTAGCATGTGTTAGTATTTGTTATAGCCAAATAAAATTTCATTGTATGTGTTTTAGTTCATTTTCTGTTATGATAATGAACCCCCTGAGTCAGACTAACTCTGTAAGAAAAAGAGATTTGGCACTGGGAGGTAGCCCAATGGTAGAGTGCTTGCCTAGTATGCATGAGGCCCTGGGTTCAATCTCCAGTACTGCCAAGAAAACAAAAATACACAAAAAACAAATAAACAACAGATTTATTTGGCTCAAAGTTCTGGAAGTTTAGAGGCATGACATCCACATTATCTTGGCTCTGATGAGGACCTAGTGGTATATAGGACATGCAAGAGGCAAAGATCACATCTTGAAAAACAGAAATTCAGAGAGGCTGGGATCTCGCAATTCCTTCCAAGGACATGCCCCTAACGAACCTAAGGAGCTCTCATCAGGCTCTCTCTTTCTCTCTTTTTCTTTCTTTTTTGGCACCCAGGATTGACCTTAGGGGCACTTGACCACTGAGCCACATCCCCAGCCCTATTTTGTATTTTATTTAGAGACAGGGTCTCACTGAGTTGCTTAGCACCTTGCCATTGCTGAGGCTGGCTTTGAACTCGTGATCCTCCTGTTTCAGCCTCCCCAGCAGCTGGGATTACAGGCATGTAAATAAGCCTCTTAAGCACCCAGCTCTACCTCTTAAAGTCTGTCATCACCCATTGTCACACTAAGGACCAAACTTTGAGTATGTGAACTTTTTTTTGTGGGGGGACAAACAAAATTCATACCATAGCATTCCATCCGTGGCCCCAAAGTTCATGCTCTCACAATGCAAACACATTCCTTCCACCCCCAAGAGTTCCAAAGTCTTAACTTGTTCCTGTAACTAAAAAATCCAAGTGTAAAATCTCCTGTAAGATTCAAGGCAAACTCTTTCAGTTCTGAGCTCCTGTTAAAAAAAAAAAAAAAGTCAAAAAACAAAACAAGTACATACCTCCAAGATGTAATGGCAAGACAGGGAGAGGATAAATGTCCCTTTTAGCAAAAGGAAGGAATTGAGAAGCAGAAAGGAGTAAATGGCCCATAGGAAGACTTAAACCCAGCAGGGTAGGCATTAAATTCTAAGAAGTCTCCAAGTCTGGATCTTGTGCTCATCGCAGCAGGAGTGAATGGCTTTGCCAGTCCACATGGCTACCCTTACAGTTGCATGCTGATGTCGGTGGCTTTCCGAGGCTGGTGTGGCATGCTACCTTTATGGGTCTCCACTTTGKTTTCACTTTCTCAGCTCCCTTAGGCATTTCCCCACTGGGGAGTCCCTGCAGGGACTCTGACTCTGCAGCAAACTTCAGCCTGGTTTCAAAGGATTTTCTTTGAAATCTGGAAGGAAGCTATCATGACCCTATAACTTTTGCACCTTGAATGCCTGTAGAACTTGCAACGTGCACATCACAGAGATCTGCCAATGGCTTGAGTGCTGTGGGGCCTACTTAAACTACAGCTACAGTGGCAGTAAAGCACATCATCAGACAGTTGGAATCCTGAGGTGGCCTTGCCCAGTGAATCTGTAGAGAGCAATCCAGTACTTTCCCCCAACCTGACCCCGGTACTGGGAATTGAACCCAGGGCCTCATGCAGACTAAGCAAGGTCTCTGCCACTGAGTCACACCTTCAGGCATTTTTATTTTATTTTGAGACAGGGTTTTGCTGGTCTCAGACTTGTTATCCTCCTGACTCAGCCTTCTGAGTAGCTGTGATTACAGATGTGCACCATGTCCTCAAAACAAAGGAGGACCTAATCCATGGGGGAGATTGAGTTAAAGCACACTTAGCTACTCACTTGACAAACATTAAATAAGTGCTTGCTTATCCCCAAACCTGCCAGGATATAGGCAACCCAGCCTGGGCTCAGGAGCATATGCCAAGTCTGACTTCCTGGAGGAAGGAGTGTTAGGGGCTCAACTTCAGATGGCCCCTGAAAACTGTCTTTGGCCCCTGCATTCCAGTCCTGCCTCCCATAGGCTCCCACAGCCCAGCACTGTCTGGGTTCCTTCTCAGCACCTTTGGGGAGCAATCAGCATTTATCCAGATGTGAGTAGCCAGCATTCTGAGAGCACTGCTTCTCTTTGACCTCCACCCAACCAGCAAGCCTGCTGTGGATTTAGTTTTCCTTCCAGTGCACTCTGCTCCAAGCCATCACTCCAGCCCCTGCCTRGGCAGATGCTCTCTCTGCCCTGATTCTCCTGATCTAATTCATAGCTGGGCTATGGGGCTCTTCCCACTCAGAGGTGTGTTACAAGCTTCTTCGAGTCTGCTAGACAACATAATGTTTCTTCCTAATCTGGAGTCTGCAGTCCACCACGGCTGGGTGAAGGTCCCCATGTGCTCTGCCACTTAGGGTACCATCTTACAGAGACCTGGTATTGAGGGTAGCCAAGATAACATTAAAAACATGAAATGAAGAAGCATCTCAGGAGTATATCTGTGTATATGTGTGTGTGTGCTTTTGTGTGTACATGTGTATCAATATACAAATATATAGTGAAAGAGGGAGCGAAAAGAGGGCAGAGAAAATGGAGACAGAATCTCAAAGTCTAGGGAAGCCAGGCATAGTGGTGCATGCGTAATCCCACTGGCTCAGGAGGCTGGGGCAGGAAAATTGCATGTTCAAAGCCAGCCTCAGCAACTTAGTGAGGYCCTGTCTCAAAATAAAAAATAAAAAGAACTGGAATGTAGCTTGATGGTTAAACACCCCTGGGTTCAACCTTTACTAGCAAACCAAACCAACCAAAACCAAACAAGAACCAAAAAACAAAACAAAAGTCTAGGGAAATGAGATACTGCTACATACCCATTCAATATAATCAGATTTAAAACCCATAAAGAAACTGATGGTGAGGATATGGAGCAATTGGCACCCTCATATATGGATGGATGGGAGGTAAAAATGATATGGTCATTTTGGAAGACAGTTTGACAATTTTTCAAAAGTTAAACGCACATTTATCATATGACTCAGCAATTACTTTCAGGTCTTTTAAAAATATTATTATTATTATTTGTGGTACTGAAGATAAATCCAGGGATGTTCTACCTCTGGAGTTATATCCATAGACCTTTTTATTTTTTATTTTGAGGCAGAGTCTCACTAAGTTGCCTAGACTGGCCTCAGATTTACCGTCCTCCTGCCTCAGACTCCTGAGTTGCTAGGATTACAGGTATGCACCGCTGCACCTGGCCCTCTCAGGTCTTTACCGCCCCCCCCCCCCAAAAAAAAAAACCGGAAGCATGTGTATACACATAGTCATGTCTAAAAAGTCCAGATCATTTTATTAAATAGAGGCCCCAAATGGAAGTCACTCAGATGTGCATCAACTGGTAACTGGATAAAGTGTGGCAGATGTCTACATGCAAGGCCACTCCCCAATAAAAGGGAAGAAATGCCACTTGAATCTCAAAGTCATTATGCAAGTGACACAATCACAAATGACTCCTGTGCTATGATATTCTAGAAAAGGCAATCTTTGGCAACAGAAATCGATCAGGCAGTTGCCAGGGAGCAGAGGTCAGTGTGATGACGAACTGTGAATTGGCATGTGGGAACATTTTGGAGCTTAAGAAACATGTGGTGTCGGTTATAGTCTCCTACATTTACTCAAATTTACCGAACTTTGTAGCTCAAATGGGTGAATTTAATTCATGGAAATGATCCACAATAAAGCTCTTAAAAAGAGCTACTGAAACTACTGAAAGTCTGAAAAACACTCTGAGGACCCACTCTGGGAAGCATCCTGTGCATGCTCAGAACTGAAAACCATACAGGGGCATGTTTGCAGCAGGAGCACAATGAATGTTTTCAGCACAGAGTGGAAGGATTATGCACAGTCCCTRTACACTAAAAGGAACTAGAAGATCTTTTCACCTCTGCAGAGAGCCAGTCAGCCCAGGCTTACCGCTATCCTCGTCTGCCCCCTGGTGTCCAGTATGGGCAACACAGCAATCTTCATCTTCAGCCCTAAAGGGCATGGTGCCCTGTGGTTGGGCTTAAGTGCACTGGGTGAAAGAGGGAACTTAGTTTCTTGGGAAAASTGGTGCCCCATGGAGGCAAGTTGGAGATAAGGAGGGTATAGGGAGAGTCCCAGGGTCCATGGAGTGAGGGACACAGCCTTTCCATGACAGAGAGAAAATGCTTTGGAGGAACAAAAGGGCATATTGAGCTTCATTTGGCACTTTTGATTACTGAGATAAAAGATGAGAGGGTTTCTATTGGAGGGGCCAAAAAAGTTTAGGTACATCAATGAGGTGAGAGGGAAAGTCAATCATGTGGATGCCATAGTGAGTGGGGGATGGTTAGGAGGCTGCAGAGGAATTCTGAAAGATTTTGTATGGAGAGATGCTCAGGGAGCCAGGGACAAGAATCTCTTCTGCTATGTGTCTGGACCTCCTGACATGTCAAGGCCTCTTCCAGGACACCCCAGAAAGAAACATCTTCACAGCTGTGTTGTGATTGTGTCAGTGTGGGGCTCACAGTGTCTGCAGAGCCACAGAGAATAAGAGGCAACTTCAGGAGACAGGACCCTGAGGACCCCACCTGGCTCTCCAGGATGCACCCAGCTGGCCCAGGCTCCAGAAGCCAATGGAAAAGCCCAGTCCTGCTTCTCATAASTCACCTCCTTGGGATAGAAATAGATGGGTGTGTGTGTAGATTTAAATGTTAATGATGAATGACATTTAATCTCTAGGGACAATAGAGGGGCCCACCTCAGTGGCTAAGATGTATGCTTTGAAAGTTTGTGTGCTGCAATTTATATGCTGAAAAAACAATCTCCAATGTGATGAATCATTAGTATTGTGATAAATTTGGCTTACTAACTGTATAAAAGAGGCCAAGAGAGATTATTCKCCACTTCTGCCAAGTGAGGATATAGTGAGAAGGTGCCATCTAAAAACTAAAGCAAGACATCACCAGACAACAAATCTGCTAATACCTGGATTTGAACTTGACAGCTTCCAACACAGAGAGCAATAAATTTCCACTGTTTATGAGCTACTCAGTTTATTGTGTTTATTTGTTTATATTTTGGTAGTGGTACAGTGATCAAACCCAGGACCTTGACATAACGGCAAACACTCTACCACTGAGTTACATCCATGGCCCTTTTTATTTTGCTTTGAGCTCGGGTCTCCCCAGGTTGCCCAGTCTGGACTTGATAATTCTCCTCCTCAGCCTTCTGAGTAGCTTGGATTAGGGGTTTGTGCCACYGTGTCTGGCTAGATTATTGTATATTTGTAACAGCAGCCTGATGGGCTAAGACACTGGAGCTTCTGATGTATAGGTTTTCTCTTAGGCTTTCTGAGATATGAGAACATGGGGGACTTGCTGAGAGGTGGGCAAGGGTTTCTGAAACCTAGGTCAGCACCACTTCATAAAACATCTCTCTCAAAGTGGGAGGGTATGGAAACTTGCAGGAGAGGACAGAGAGGGTACAAAGAAAGAGAGGGGAGTAGGGAGGAAGGAACTCAAGCTCAGTGGGGGGGAGGAAGGTGGGCATCCACTGGGCTTACCCGTCCACAGCTTCCTGGGGGGATTGACTGAGTGTGTCTAACAAAAGAGGACTCATGGCAGCCTGGGCAATGAACATCATGAGTGTTGGCTGAATGGATGMATGAAGAGTGGATGAATGGCWACATGAATGAARGGGTCAACCCTGGCTCCTGGGTGGGCGTGTATGGGCACCACAGGCAGATCCCATCTGCACATAGCCCTTCCCTCCCTCCCTGAACAGGGAGCTAGAGATCTGTGTGCTTCACCTTATCTCCCTTTAGCTCTTGGATCTTCTGAGGCAGGGTCTTGGTCCAGAACTGCAGCCTGTGTGCCTTCAGGGCCTGGCCCACAGCAGGCTGGATGTCCAGCTGCAGGTACTGCTGGTCCTGGTCGAACAGTGGCCAGTGGGGCAGGCCCTCTCCGTTGGGGTTCCTGTGCACATGCCCTCCCAGCAAGGCAGGGCGAGGGTCAGTCTGAGCTCTGTTGAATTCAGACCTGACCTCCCATCCCTGTTTAGGACTGGCCAGGCATCCAGGCAGGCGGGGGCTTTGAGAATGGGTAAAATTTTCCTGATGTAGGAAAGTAATGGCCTCTCACTAGTGTTGTTCTCCACAGGGCAGGGCAACCTGGTCTGTTTGGCCGTTCCTTGTGAGAGGCTGGCTCTTATGGTAACCCAGCACTATGGCTCACTCTCCTGGCCACCATGAGAGTGCACCCACAAAGCAACCTCTTTCAGAGCAGGCCTTCGTGTTGGAGAGGGAGCTCGGATGTGGTTAAGGCCACATGTGTGTTAATGAGATCACCTCAGACAAGGGGAGCAGTGGAGGACCCGTGCCCCGCTGGGAGGCTGAGTGTGCAGGTGTCCTCACCCATTTCGAGCAAAGTTGGCCCAGTACTTCATCATCCTCCTGCTCAGCAGCTCCTCCTCCTCACTGAACTCAACTGTGGAAGGAGGAAGACAAGGGTCCAGGTCCTGGCCAACCCTGTCCACTCCTGTGCCACATTCACCACCCCAGCCATAGCCTGAATCGATCCAAGGCCTGGGTCCCTTCCATTATAGTTGGACCTGAAGTGTCCCCCAAGGCTCATCTGTTGAAGGCTTGACCCCCAGCTGGTTGCACTGTTGGGAGGTGCTGTAAACTCTATGGACGTGACCTAGTTGAAGAGGTGGGTCACTGGGGGCATGCCTCTAAAGGTGTATTTTGTTCCTGGTGCCTGTATGTATTTCATTCTTTCTCCTCCTGACTGTCATGATGTGGGCAGCTCTGTTCCACTACTAACTCCCTGACAGGATGTCCTGTCTCTCCACAGACCCAGAATCAATGGAATCAAGTGACCATGAACTGAAACCATTGAAATTGTGAGCCAAAATAAAATCTTCCTCCTTTAAGTTGAATATCTCAGGTATTTTGTCACAGAAGGCTCGACTAATACACCTTCCTTACCCCAATATCCCTGGGGGACAGCCCCTCCCCTTGTCCAGCTTGCCCTTACTCATTCCAGCCTCTAGCTGAATTGTTCCTGGGCCATCTGGATCCAGAGGGCCCCCTTTTCCTTCTAAAACTGTGAGGTCATCTGAGAAACAAATATGCCATTTAAGTACCTTCCTCTGTACCCACTATGGACACCATGGTTGGGGCGGGGCAGGTTGAGGGAGCACAGGCTGGAGTGGTGGGGCTCAGATTCTAATTAGGGACATCTTTTGAGCTATGAGTTGGTGAACACCTGATTCTCTTTCTGAGCCTTAGTTTCCTTGTGTGGACCCCACTGGTACACATTTTCTGGAGAACAAAGACTCACCTTGCTTGCCCCAGAAAAAGGATCTGAAGATAAAGAGAATCTCATCACCGTGGTCGGCCTTCACATGGGGTGGCTTGATGTCCTTAAAAAAGTCAGGTCGATGCTGGAACTCGTAGAAGTAGACAGGGGCATGGGAACCTGGGGAATGGGGGTGGTCAGGCAGTGATAAGGTGACCCCTTACCTGGAACTCCCTTCTGAGTCACCCTTGGTGACAAAATACATAGGTCCAAAGCTGACTTTAACCTGGACAGTGAAATGGGGAACCCCAGGGTAGAGTTGAGGCCATTGAAGGGCCTTCAATAAATCATGGCCTTGGACTCTCTAGCTGTGTGATTTTGAGCAAGTCAYTAACTCAGGCTCCTTGCCTATAAAATAGGGTAGTTGTCTGTCACTTATACTATCCCTCAGGATTTGCTGAGATGAGGACTATCAAGTGCTTGGTATCAGGGGCCTGATAAAGACTAGTTCAGGACCTAGACATCACAATCTTCCTGTTCTCCAGACACCAGAGCTCTAAGTTGCCCTAGGCCATCAGGAGTCAGGTACAGATATACTCACTCTGAAAATGTGCTACTTGGAGTGCAGGGATCACAAACATTAAGTCCTCCATCATTTCCTGGAACTGGCCTTGAAGAGTATCTGGGTCTTCATTGTCTCCCATATACTCCTCCATCAACAGGTCACCAAATTCAGCAGGCAACATCTAGCCCAGAGGGATTGGGGAGAGTCCTGTTAGGCAGGCACTGAGGAAGGGACACAGCAGCTTAAGGGTGGAGAGATGGAATCTGGGATGGGTCAGGGCATAAGGCAAAGCTGTCAAGCTGTGGGKTGATCCCACTCACAAATGCACACAGAGATCAACCTTTGTTGCCGGAAGTTGCCTCATGGGAAGGATATCTGGGGGTATCCTCTCAATATTTTTGGTACTGGTGATTGAATGCTTTACCACTGAACTACATCCCCAGCCCTTCTTATTTTTTTATTTTGAGGTAGGGTCTTGCCAAGTTGCTGAAGGCTGGCCTTGAACTTGGAGTCCTCCTGCTTCAGCTTCCTGAGTCACTGGGATTACAGGGATACTACACCTTGATCAGCACTCTCCATTTTTTTTTTTGCAGGACCCTGGGAGTCTCACCATCTGTGCTGCTCTTCTCTGCAGAGCAGCCTGCACAGTCCTTCTGTCTATTTTCTTCTGGGGGTGAGCAGTGCCCATGCTCTGGGTGGAAAGGGGAGAGTGTGTTTTATAGTTCAGATTGGCCTGGAACTTTAGGATGTGTTCCCCAAATACCTAGAAACTTGGAGCTAGGTCTCACCGAGGGAATGACCCAGCCATACTCATCATTGTTGACCCCAATGATGCTGGGGACAGGTTGAAAATCAGTAGAAGTCAGAAGCTCCTGGGGGTGCCTGGGCAGGAAGACCCCATCTACCACACCGGGAATGATCTTGAAGGCCTGAGGGGGCATTCAAAGTCAGGAAGCACAGTCAGGTCCTAGAAAACTTCTGATGTCTTCTGAGTGCTTTTCGCTCGTGTCTGGCCAGGAAACTCATAACTGCCCCAGGAAATCCTATTCCTGGTTTATTACAAGCAAGCCTCATTTCCAGAATACCTGGGTGAAGTAACTGTTCCAGGGAGTTGGAAGGGCACCCAAACCATTTGCCCCACAGCTATCATTCCTCCTTCTTCCACACCCATGCTCATTAAGCCTGACCTTGGTAATAGCCAGCATTTCCTCTTCACTCTTGCCTCGAAGGCAGCTCATCAGAGCCTCTGACTCTACCTGCCCACAGTCAGACAGGTTGGCCACCATCTGTAAAGGCACCAAAAAGTGCTGGATCATCCCTTCAGGCAGGGAGTGGGAATGTTGCCCAAGGTCTCAGCTGGGTGCAGGCACCACCAGTATCTCAAAGGTGTGGATTGTTGCAGGTGTGAAATTGTTCTACCCTCCCTGAACCTCAGGTGTCAGCCACAGGAGCCATCACACATGCTCAGGTGGTTCAGGGTACAGCTTTACAGATCATAGAACATATTCAACCACTGTGAGGTAGAGGTCTGTGGATTCTGACCCTTAAACCCCTCGCAATCCCTGGATAGGTAGCACTTCCCAAGGTTCCTCAACTGTTGTTGTCTTCAGTGAAGAAAGAGGAGCAGTGGCTCTGAAGGTGAGGGATGAGGCAGTGGGTCTGGGCTTTGGTGGTTGAGGGCACTCACTGTAGAAACCGCTTCAGATGAGCTGGCAATGAGGCTGGGCAGCAGGGCCACCCCACTCTCCATGATGGCACCATGAAAGAGTCCTTGGGACATTGGAGACACCACATGTGAGGACACACTAGTGCCACCTGCAGACTCGCCAAATATGGTGACCCGATCAGGGTTGCCTCCAAAGTGAGCGATATTCTGCTGGACCCAGCGTAGGGCGGCCACTTGGTCCAGGTAGCCCCAGTTGCCAGTGGCATACTGGTCTCCAGTGCTGAGAAATGCAAGGATAATGATCACTGGATGGTCCTCTGTCTACTCAGCCTCCGTTGACCAATCCAGCCCTAAGCTCACCTGAAGAAGCCCAGAATACCTAGGCGGTACTGGATAGTGACCACCACCACGTCCTCAGTGGTTGCCAGAATAGAACCATCGTACATGGATGCCATGCCTATAACTAGCGCACCACCATGGATCCATACCATCACCTGGAAAATCAAGAGATATACCACATGGGTCCCACCCAGCCCAAACCCCTCCTGGGCTGCCTTATAGGTTAAACACTGCTTTGAATTATGCAGCTACCCACACAGACAAAACTCCAGCAGACCTCATGACCTGGGCCATGGGTCAATGACCCAAGTTCAATCAGGAAGACCAGATCTCCCATTGGTACGTGATACATCCCATGTACCAAAACCTGGATCTATTACATCCTGAATCTTCTGCAAGTTGGAAAGAAAAGGGGTGTCTACTTAGAATTTCCAAGAAACATTAATCAAAATTCTTCTCCACAAGAGCTCAAAGACAATCCATTGCTGTCATTTTTTTGTGTGACCTTAGTGTAGTCCTTGCACGAAGGGGGTCTCCTGGGAACAACTTGGTTGAATGAGAATGGTGTCCATCCAATGGCCACAGTCTCTGACCTCTGGGAGTAGCCAGGGCCCTTTGAACACAAGCTTAAGTCAGGGCCCACTGGTATAAGAGGCCTTCTTGGATCTGACAGTAAGAGGTTTCTCCTCATTGTTCATACTGCAGTAGGGCCCAAGCTGATCTTGTTCCTTCTAACCTTATAGAACAAATGTACTCCCATTCCCCTGTCAATCACATCCTGACACTCACAGGAAGGTTAGAGCCCTCATGGGCATGAGCAGGCGTGAAGATGTTGAGATACAGGCAGTCTTCTGACATGGGGATGGAAGGCAGGGTCAGATTCAACAGCTTCAGAGACTGTGTGTTCATTGCTTTGGCATCCTGCAGACACCTGGTGATCAACCATGGTAGACAGTCAACCCAGCGTGTGAACAGTGGTCAAAAGCAGACTTGGGTTCAGGTTTCTTCCATGAAACCCCCTCAGGGTCCCTGTTACACCTGATGTCCTGTTCATACTGGATTTTTCTCTAAAGCCCCTTCCCACTGAGTTCAAGGCCTCTGGCTGGGGTGGGAGGGGGAAGCCAGGATGGAGTCCAGACCTCCAGGGAGGCCTCAGGGTTGTTAAGCACTTGCATCCAACTCCTTCTGAGGCTGGGCAATCATGACTCTAGGGGACTGTCTGGGAAACACTGGCTGCCTGTGTTGACATTCACCACTTATCCCTGTCCCCATTCAGGTCTGGAACAGTATAGATGACCCCAAATGGGTAGTGCCTGAATGGATGGAGTTTAATTTTCCATAGAACATAGTAGAACAATCCACAGACCAAGTCTAGACTCTCAGGGAATCACATCCCTCCCACAGAGTCTTCAGTACATACACCTTTTACTTGGCTACTGGCACCTGGCCCTGTGGGCTGGCATAGAGAATGCAGGGTGTGGGTCCCAAAGGAGCCACTACTGCTTCCCTCCTCAGGAATCTAGAGTATGTACTGCTGGAGTCAGGGTATTTTATAGGTTCTTAGAGCCAATCTGACCTTCTCCCAGACACACGTGCGTACTCTGGTTGCAGAGAACATCTGGCATAACATGAGCTGAGACAAATTATCTCTGCAACCAATGTTCTCTGGGTGCCAAGGCCAAACACAGGAGCCTAGGGAAGTTAGCAACTTCTACCCTCTGAGCCTCAGCACTCTCACTGGAAGAATGAATGTGAGAATCATCCCAATGCAGAGGAAAACTGCCTGGGCAGTGTAGATGAAGGAGACACAGCAGCCTGGCCCAGGGCTCGGAGTACCCATCCCCACCCCAGMCCTGAGGTTTCCCAGACCCCAGGAGAGCTTACATGGCYGGGTGGGAGGTCCCATCCCTCACACCACTCCAAGGGTCAGGGGGCTCAGGGGCTGCAAAGCGCAGTGGTCCTACAGGTGGCTTGGCAAAGGGAATTCCCAGGAAGGTGTGGACCTCCGCATCGGTGCCCTTCACATGGACGAGGCTGCCCCGCACCTGCCCGGTGTGGGTGGTTCGAATAGGGCTGACTGAGTCCTGGCCTGTGGGCAGAGAGATGCACTTCAGACTTTGGTCTGCTTAATCAGCTGTTGGCCTATAGTACTGTGGCCTGGTTGGCCTTCCTTAGCTCAATCTTGTGGACGGACCCTGATCTGCAAACAATGGCTTCACAAACTTTCTGCCTGTCCCACTGTGACCCTCCACAATTACCTCCTGATTCTATTCTGATGACATGGCCAGAATTAATTTATCCATAGACACAGAGAGCAGACTGAGGGTATGTAGGGTAGGGTTAGGTTCACATTGAGGGAAAGAGGTGAACTCTGAGTGTAAACTAAAAACCACTTATGTGTGTCATTGAATGGGTAGAATGTATGGTGCAGTAATTATTTTTCAAATTTGTTATTAAAAATCTCTTTGCAAATTATGAAACTGATATGAATTTTTTATTGTTGTTACTGGGGATTAAACCCAGGGGCACGTAACAACTAAGCCAAATGCCAGGCCCTTTTTATATTTTACTTAGAGGCAGTGTCTCACTGAATTGCTTAGGGCCTCTTTAAGTTGCTGAGGCTGGCTTTGAACTCGCTATCCTCCTGCCTTAGCTTCTCGAGCCACTGGGATTACAGGTGTACCACTGTGCCTGGCTTAAATCTTGATTTTTTTTTAGAAAAGACCCTATATTATTACCATTCTAATAAATTAGGACATTTGAATAGATATTTAATTATAATGAAAACTGACACTGTTGTGGAAATACCTTTATCTATTTACCTATCTCTGTGTATATCATATAAATATTTGTATCAATCTTCCTCTTCTTTTTTTTTTTTCAGTAGGAACTCATGAAAAATTTACCCATGATGTGATAGCTGGGGTTGCTTTCGAACAATGGTGCAAAGGACAGGGTGCATTTCAGATAATCTAGGTTGTGCCAGTCCAGATACTCATTGAAAGTGGCTGATGGGCACATTGGGTTCATTAACTTTCCTCTCTGGCTCATATGAGGCTCATCCCTCTGTGCTGTGTAGCTCTTGGGCAACCACATCTCACTCTGTGCCTTAGGGTACAGGGAGGTGTTCAGTAAGGCCACTGTCCCCCGATATTGTTGCAACCTACAGAGGCTCCCACCTCTTGCACCTTCCCTTCATAGTCTCAAGTTCTGCCTCTGCAGAAATTGGCAGGTCTGAGCCAGGTTCCATTAGAAAAAACAAAAGACAAGAACAACCTCAGGGATCTCCTTCTGCCCTGCCCAGGGTGGATCCTAATGCATCAATATGTGTCAACTGCTGTGACTGAGGCTAGGCGTGGCAGCCACGTAAAGGCTCCAGAGAGGACAATGTAGTATCATCTTTCTGCTATTGTTTGGATGTGGTTTGTTCACCAGAGATTCATGTGCTGGAAGTTTGGTTCTCAGTGTGGCAACATTGAGGAGGTGGGACTATAAAGGGATGGGGTGTAATAGAAGGTGATTGGATCATGGCTAGGGTTAGATCTCACAGGAGAGCATTAATTCTCTGGAAAGTGAGAATGGATTGTTCTAACAGGGCAGCCTGGCCACTCTCCGGTCTCTTGCTTTGCTCCTGCCGTATGATCTATCTCATAAACACTCCTGCTATATCATGTCTTTGCCATTTTATGACATAGCTACAAGGCCCTCTCCAGAGGTAGACCAGAGCCAGGCAAAGTGATGCACTCCAGTAATACCAGAGGCTTGGGAGGTTGAGGCAGGAGTTTTGTGTGTTTGAGACCAGGTTCAGTAACTTGGCATGAATCTGTATCAAAGTGAAAAGTAAAGGGGCTTGGGATTTTGCTCAGTGGCAGATCACCTTTAGGGTCCATCCCCACTAGTGTCAACCACAACAGACCAAAAACCAAAAACAGAGGCAGACCAGARAGGGCCACCTGATCTTGATTTTTAGTATCTAAAACTGTGTGCAAAATAACTATATTTTATTTATAATTACCTTGTGTTGGCTATTTTGTTATAGCAACACAAAGCAGTCTGAGACAGAAAATTACTACCAAGAGTGGGGTTGTTACTAAAACAATACCTGAAACTATGGAAGTGGCTTTGGAACTAATTAACAGCCAGAGATTGGAGGAGTTTGTAGGAGCAGTCAAGAAAAGTTTTGTGTTGCTGGGTGTGATAGCACAGTTGTAATATCAGCAGTTCAGGAGGCTGAGGCAGGAGAATTGCAAGTTCAAAGCCAGCTCCAGAACCAGCAACTTAGTGAAGCCCTAAACAACTTAGTGAGATGCTATATCAAAATAAAAAATAAAAAGGATGGGGATATGGCTCAGTGGTTAAGTGTCCCTGGGGTTATACCCCCTATACAAAACAGAAGAAGGAGAAGGAGAAGAGGAAAAAGGAGGAAGAAGAGGAAGAGGAGAAAGAGAAGTCTTAAACTGCTCTAAATGAAGAACTATCAGTAATCCTTGTGAAAGTTCAGATAACAAAGAGACTAGGAAGGAGCTAGAACCTCCTAGGGATTGGTTAAGTGTCATGTTCCGAATGCTGATAGCAATGTGCTTAGTAAAGGCCATCCTAAGGAGGCCTCAGAAGGAAGTGGGAGCCATCTGTGGAAATTAGAAGA